GGTTTGCCATGGTTTTGTTTAAGAAGCATTCTGGGTGAAATTTCTCCACGACATACCTGTTGGTTCTTTAGGCAGACCATGGGATATTCAGTACTCTTCTCCAAACCCTACTCAAATGCATCAGTTCCTCGTTCTTTTTCTATCACCCTTCTTTATTGTCCAGCTTTCAGATACATGGCAGGTAATTGGAAAGACTGTAGTTTGAGTCAGGCTCACCTCAGTCTTTATAATTACTTCATTGCTCTTCAAGGCTTTGCTGATAGCCAACTTTTCGAAAGCTATGTATTCTGATCTGTCTGCCTGCTGGTAGCCAGGATGTTGATTATCAAAGCAAGATGAAATCATTGATAATTTCAATCCCCTATCGACCTATCATGATGTTATCATTTGGCCCATTGGTAAGGATTTTTGTTTTCTTTATGTTGAAATTTAATCCATATTGAAGGCTACAGTCTTTGATTTTCTGCATTAAGTGCTTCAAGTCCTTTTTAATTTCATCAAACAAGATTGTGTTATCTGCCTAACACAGGTTGTTGATGAACCTTCCTCCAGTCTTGATGCATTATATTGTGTTGGTTTCAGTCTCTGCCCTAAAAGAAATTAGTTACACATGAATATGCTTTCCGTTTGAAACACTCTAATCAGAGGTTCACAATTTCCCCTGTTTTATTTTGATTTACATACACAGTTTGTACACATTGTGTATCATCCATGTACATTGTGCCTCACACATTCCTACATTCACATTTTGTTTCAAATGATCATGCATGTACGTGGGATTTATAAAACGAGTAGCTGTTGATCTACGGCTACCATTACCCTATCTTTTCAGATATCCATTATATCTTTCCTGATTCCTTCACACTCCCCTCCACTGGCCAAATTCTGTTCCTAATGGTGTCCTCCCCATCCCTCCTTGTTCCCCTCCCCTTCCTTTTTTAAAATTTTTATACACACATTACTATTCTACTTTTACAATAATGGTTTTATGCATTATTTGCCATTTTGAGACTGAGTTCACTCTACATAATGCTCTCCTGATTCTTCCATATTCTATAGTATTTTAGGAAATTGTTGCTCTTGAGTGCTGCATAGTATTCCATTGTGTGAATGTGCCATACATTCTTAATGCATTCTTTTGTTGATGGACATTTGGGCTGTTTGGATAACACTACTATGAGCATCATTGAACAAAAGCAGTTCATACTTTGGAGGTTTCTGCTCCCTTCATCTGGTTTGTTAGAATTTTCTTCCTTGTTAGGAGTCCTTACCCCTCTTTAGCCTCCCCCCAACATCTAGACAGTTTCTCTAGAAATACTGTATGACAGACCTTGTTCTTCCTGGGCTGGTTGAAGGATCCTGGCTGCCTGATTTCCCTGAACGTGGACTCTGACTTGTTCCTGGGTTGAGTGATTTTTTTCCCCTTTCTTTCTTGTGATTTGAATGAAAGTTTATGTTCACTCAGATGTAATAGTTGGTTTTTCGTTTGACCATTCATGGCAATTTTGTTTCGTAAAATTGCAGTAACCACAATACTTATACTGCCTGACTCTTGAGTTAAGTAAATTGTAGTCTCTCTGTGTCTTCCCCCTCCCACTTGCCCGTATGTGTGTGTGCATGTGGAATGTTATTTTTAAATGTGTAAAACAAATGATACGTGACACCAATTGAGTCAGATTCCAGCCCAGTGGACCCTGTGAGTACAAAGTAGGGGCTTCAGGAGCTGTGATTCTGAGCGGCTAATTGAAAGAAAAGTGCATTGAATTTAGTCAGTCCATGAAAGATGATGAGTTAACTCTGACGTGATAGTGCATAGCGGTAACAATAACAGGACACAGATGAGGGTTTTTCATGCCGATGTTGTCCCCTACATATCTTTGAACCCAGGATCTGCCTCTCAGCAGCTATTTCTTTCTGGTGATGAATCATGAGAATAGCAGCAACAATGGTAACAAAACATGCCTTCCCTGTCTTCCCAAGAAGCCCTGGCTTGCCTTCAATTCTGAATTTATAGACTTTGTGTTTCAGGAACACTGGTGGTCTAGTCGATAAGCTCTTGGTTTCTATCAGAAAGATTGGCAATTTGAATATACCAAATAAATTCTTTGTCACTGAGAGCTATAGCAGTCTGCCTCTGTGGAGATTACTGTCTTGGAAACAATATAGGACAGCTTTGCACTGTGCTATAGGGTCAGTTTATAGTGTACCTGATGCAAACCATAGTCTCTTCAGTTACTTGATGTGCAGCCGAAATTTGGACAATGAGTATAGATGACAGAAGAATAGACACCTTTGAGTTGGGATATTGGAGATTAGTGGTGAATATCCCAAGGTGTTGGAGAAGAGTACTGAATATCCCATGGACTGCCAAGAGAAGGAACAAATGTCTTGGAGAAAGTACAACCAGGGTGATCCTCAGAGACTAGGATGGTGAAATTTGGTCTCAAGTAGTTGGGGCATGTTTTTAGGAGGGACCAGTCCTCGGAGAAGGACATGGTGCTTGGAAAGGTGGAGGTAGAGACCCTCAGCAGGATGGGTTGACATAGTGACTATAACATTGGGCTCAAGTATGTCAGATAGTGAAGACTCCACAGGATAGGGCAGGGTTTAGACCTCTTGTGTATATGGTCTCTCTGAATTGCAGTTGGGTTTGTGTGAGTTAGAAATCAACTCACTGCTGAAGATGAATGAAGTTGGTTGGTTTTTTGTTGTTTGTAAATTTTGTTTGGTTTTAGTTTTTTGTCTTTGTGCTCACAAATGAGCTTAGTTCTCAGTAGCTGTTCTGATGGTGGTGGTAATGAAATCTCCTTGCTTAACTAATTTCAATTTGCATACTGTCAACTAGCCTAATTAATTTATTTTATGCATATGCATGTACTTATGTGGGTTTTATGTGTGTTGTATTGGAATTACAGATTAATTTCCCAAATACCACTGTGAGTCTTCCCAGCAAAAGCTGTAGTATCTTTAAGTAATTTATAGATTTTTTTTTTCTTACAATCATGGTATCAAATATATCTTAGAATTCTGTTACAAGCAGTAACTTTACCCAATTATTGCGTTTAATTGGTTGCAGGCATATAGAAACCCTGATGTTGATTTCCTTCAAGTCGAGCATGACTCACAGCGACCCTATGAACAAAAGGCCTGAAGCCCCTCTACAACTATCAACGTTTATCAAAGTTCATAAAGTTTACGGAGGCATGTTATTTAGGAAGTGGATACTTCCTAAAAGCTCCTGCTTTCAAACCTGTTATAATATGTTCTTAGAAACCCTAGTTTGAGCAACCTAGTTGTTAGAAACCATAGAAACCCTAGTCATCTGAAAATCTTGGGGTGTGCTTGGTTGCCTTTTCAGACTTCTTGGATGGGAACATTGAATCATTTCTTTTCAGTCTCTCACCTCTCCTAATATAAGTCCTTATGGATGAGAATAGATGACTTAAAAAAAGGGAGATGCTGGAGAGCATGACCAACTCCGTCTCCTAGGAGCAAATACTGCCTAAGACCATTATTGTAAAAATGGAAGAATAGCCAGTAAGATGGGTATAAAAGTCCAAGGGAGGAAGGAGCCGGGAGACAGTGGGGAGAGGATGAAATCACGGGGTCACAGAGTTGAGAGAACTAGGAAAGACCCAGTGGGGATCTGAGAAGATGGGTAATAGTGGGCATAGATCAGGGCTGATTAATTTTAGAAAACACAATATATGGTAATGATCATATGAAACAATGTGAATGAAGGAATGTGTGGAACTCAATGTATTATGAATGAAGCACAGCATTTACCATTTTTGTACACAAACCGATTTCTTAAGACTAAGAATAGGTGCCATGAAACTCAGAAGGCAGGAAGGGTATGTGAGAACTCATGGAAATGAGAATCGGGGAAGAATGCAATTACAATGGGGAATATTGTAATTGTTGGCATAAAAAAAATGGAAAACCAGTTTGCTCTGGAAGCTTGCATTCAAATCACAATCAAAAAGGAAAAAAGCATGCTAGTTGTTAAACGCACTAAGACAAGCCTCTCAAGGCATGGGAAAACAAGATCGTCTCATCAGGTTCCGGTTCTTACCGGTTTCACTGCAGAACATGTAAACTTTGTATGTGAAAGAGAACTAGAACAAGAGGATGCTGATGGGCTGCCTCTTGGATGCTTACCTGGGCAGGGGGTCCTTCTGCTGGGCTGGATGAAGGCTGAAATAGCTTCTCCTGCTTTTCATAGTGTAGAAGGGGAAAGCATGAGGCTCAGGAATTTGTTGCAAGCAGCCAAAATTAGATTTCTTTCCTTCAGAGTTCATGAAATGAAATAATCGGTTTCAACTGCAGCAATGATTTGTCCTTTTTTTTTTTAAAACCAATTGAATTGGTTTTTTTCTTTGTGTGTAGGCTTGTTATTTAGAATAAGTATACCATATTTGATAGTGCTGTGCTCTCACTGGTAAAAACAGGATATTTTGTGTAATATATTAACATCTTCACTGAATAACTGAGGTGAACTTTTCATGGCTGTTTGAAAAAACATGAGGATTATGTCACTGTTTCTGTCTCCTTTTTTAAACTATTCTCGTTCTGTCTCCCTCTTTTGATCTCCAATATTTCGATTATTGTGTAGCTTATAATTTGAATATGGTCGTTGGCTTATTACCTATGGTCTAATGCTGAGATGTGCCGATTAGATTTTTGAATTTATATGTTAAACTTCTTTTCATAAACTTTAAAAATTTGACAGTTACTCTTTTGGCAGTCTTAATGTTGTTTTGAGAACTTTTGAGAAAGATTGATGAATTTGGTAGCGCATTAAATGTTGCGATGGAGAGTAAGTGAAAGATCAATTTAGGCAGATCCCCTTCCCAATTTATTTGACTAATTATTCTGTCAGTGGAAATAATGTAGATATCAAGTTCTCTGTAAATATTTGAACCAAGTAATATTTGAAGCAAATAATATCAAGTCCTCTGTAAATATTTGAACTGAATCTTGTACATCCTTTGCTTTAGGTGGTCGACTATATCCTGCCACCCTTGGTTTCCTTGGTTCAAAGCCCAAATGGTAAGTGTGGCCATGGCAACGAGAATTGTGTCTAGTACGCATTCTGTTCTCATTCCGTTTCTGTGTCACCACATTCTTGGCATTTGTTCCTTTCAAGTGGAGTGGAGGCTCTTCAGCTTGCGACTGCTCTCAGAAACCACGTCTCTGCTTGTGACCGAGGCGGACGGGGACGGCAGGGACGAGGCGAGCCTGGATTCCGACAGCGGTCTCGTGGCTCTTGTCAGAGACGCCCTGCTTCCCCAGTAAGTACTGCGCTGCTCGGCCGAGGAGAGGTGACAGTGCTGTCCACGCAGGGCCATGACCGAGCCAGCGGTCTGGGATTCCTTGTCTTTAACCTCACAATGCTTGTGGACTCATTGTATGAAGAGGTGATGAAACAGAGGCAGGAACTGTTACACTGGACTCATGAGAAACTCAGTCCATCTGTACAAATGTGTTTTCAGAGCTGTACCTGCTCTGAATAAGGTACGTGATTTTCAGTTCACGCGCCTTAAAAGTGATTGTGGTTCAGTGACCAAAGATTTTGATTCAAGTCATCATACAAGATAACTGGAATGGGAAACTAGGAAGTAGCCTGGCACTCAAATCATAGGGACGGAAGGAAGTTGAGTTCACTAAGAAGCAGTAGCACGTGTGCACATGTGTGGTACGTGGTATAGGAAGGAGGAGAACAGATAATGAGCCTTTGAAGCATCGTTGGATTGCCTGCTGTGTGCATGGGTGCAGGCATATAATTAAACTCTTAACACGTATGTTAGAGTTCCGGGAACACTATTAATTAAGTGAAACTCATTTAAGTTGAAAACACGTGTAATATACAATGTATACTGTTAAGACGGATTTTTTTTTTACAAAATGATAAAGAATGCTGGGTTTGGTGTCTCATATGAACCAATGTGAAAACGGCTCACCTCAGGGCCTGGGTTCACGCTTAGGGTTATAAAGAATGCCAGCCTCACTGTTTGCACCCTTCCAGTTGTTCACTTCTCAAAATATCCCATTCCCCCTTCTTCCCCTCCTCAACCCAAACAACCACCAGCCACCATTATCGCACTGTAATTACTGGATCTAGTCGCATTCCAATTTTGGCCAGTGTTAACGGAGTTGAACTTCCTTACAAGATAATTCTTGCGTTTTGTCGAGTCAGTTGTCAGGAGGGTTTTCAGAGGTAGTTAAATCGCACAGGAGAAAATTGCCCATCCTTCTCCCACGGAGCAGCTGCTGGAGTTGAACAGCCTGCCTTTGGGATTGCAGCGCAGCTTATCCTAGGCCATCACTGCTCCCTTTGGCTCATTATTTATAAAAAAAGTAAAAACTAAAGCCACATAAAATTGAATACAGAAAACTTTAATTTCTGAAAAGGAACTTCTGAACTACTCCTCATTGGTTCTAAACAAACTGAGTCTGCTAGAGACCCTGTCTATAGGACACCGTCGAATTGTCCCGTAGGTTTGCCAGGACTAGAATCATGAGCTTGAGCATAGCTGGTAAGGGCTCAGCGCATTTGGCTATTAATTTCTAGAAATTGTAAATGACTTGTTGATTTCATTTCTTTACCGTTGTAAAATGGAAAACGTTGGCCAGCAGTTTGATCTTTGAATATAGCCCTCAGTAATTAGAAGAAGTTTGTTGTTGTGTACTGTCAAGTGGGAACCAACTGAAAGCTGACCCTCTGACGAGTTTTCAGAGGCAATCAATCACATGGGAGGAGATTGCCTATCCTTCTCCTGGTGAGCATCTGGTGGATTTGAACCACATGCCTTCTGGAGTAAAGCGCAGCTTCTAGCCACTAGGCCACCAGAGTTCCCATAATAAATTTATAGATGCTAATTATGGAAAATTTATATTTTTCATTTATTAGGTGCTATTGAGTCGCCTGTGACTCCTAGAGACCTTATGTACAACAGCCCTAAACCCTGCACTATCCTGTGCCAATCTTACTGTCTCTGACACGCCTACCCCCATTACCCCAGTCACTGAATCAATCCATCTCATTGAGGGTTTTCTAGAGTTTATAAGAGCTATATAGCACTCTCTTCAATTTAGTAAATAAGAATATAAATGGCGGTAAATTTTGTTTATATATTCAGCCTCTGACCTCATACAGTACTTTGGAAAAAGCAAAGGTCACAAACCTTTCAGGCATTCATATCAGGCTCCCAGGTTTAGCATGGAGCTGGTATTTATATGGAACAGTAACTCTCAACTCAAATTCACTTTCGACATTTATTAGCACACATAACTAAGAAGTCAAAGATTTAATCCTGGCCTCAAATATAGCTGGGTTCAGGGCTCTAAAGTAAGTCAACAACATTCTTTTTCTCATCTCCAGTTTGCTTGTAAATAAGAGGCATTATTCTCAGGCTGCTTCTGTGTGGTGTTTTGATAGCCGCTGAGAGATGGTTTTCGTTAAAAGAGCGATGCCTTTTTACGTTTTTTTAAAACGAGGGTCACTATGAGTTTGAATTGACTACAATTCAGTGGGCCTGGCTACATTTCCAGGGAAGAAAATACTGTGCTTTCCTTCAGTGCCTATGAGCACAGTGATGGAACACTGAATTCTTGTCCTTCACATGAACGACCCAGGTTCGATTCCCAGCTAGTGTACATTAAGCACAGCCACCCCTTGTCAATAGAGGGGCTTGCATGTTGCTATAATGCTGAACAGGTTACAACAGCTGCTAGATGAAGATAAACAAGGAACAACAGCCTCACGTCTATGAAAATACACGGGTACAAACCACCAGTCACAGTGATCTGATTGTGCTGTGCATGGCCCTGAGTTGAAGGCTAGATGAACACTAACGACATAGGTGCTGTATAATGCGTGTGTTCCAGGTGTTTATCAGATCTGCTGTGTAATGTGAATGGCTAGCCAGTTGCCAAGAAGAAATGTCTCTTCTAAATAGAACTGAATTTTGTGTTTTCTAAATCAATGCATTGATATCAGAGATCTGTCATTCATCTCCATGTACATGCTTTCTGAACAGATGAACCTTAGTTCCAAGTATTTGTCTTTTGTCTGCAGATGATTCAGATGTCATTCTGGGTAAGATTGTCTCAAAGATAGGAGGTGGGGATCAGTTGAGGGTGGGGGAGAAATGAGGATTGGGGGAGAAACTGAGAAAGTATGAAAGAAACAGGCCGTCTGCATGTGAGAAATATAAGAGATAATTTGGGAGAGAATGTTTGCTTTCAGCTCACTGATTCATCCAGTGGTGATTGTGTAATTAATGTTTCTCTGGCTTTATTTTTATGGGGATATACTAATGACTGACATTAGCATGGGGAACTTTGATGGCCTAGTGGTTAGGAGCTGCATTGCCCGACCTGAAGACATGGGTTCAAATCCACCAGTAGGCCCACCAGAGAAAGATGTACAGGCTCCTGCTGCCTCTGATAACCTGGAGAGTCAGTTATGGGTTGGTTCTGACTCGACAGTACACAACAACAAAAACAACTTCGCTTTTATGGAACTTTCTGCCACTTCAGAAACCTTGCTAGCTTATTCCTCTGCTTTTGCGTTTCGCAGTGGGCCCATTTAACTTTTTGAAGGTCAGGATGCCCATGTTCTGTGACCTCAGGACACTCCTTTCCCCTGGCCTCATCATTAACATCTCTCGGGACCTTCGTGCTGCTTTGTTTGCAGTTTTAGGTGCCCTGTTTGATTCAAGGCACTTCCATTAAGGTCAGAAACAAGAACATGTCGACCATCTGAACTTTCATACAACTTTGCATCTTACTAACCAACCATATCTTTGCATAGTCAGTGAAACACAGACAGACATTCCTCTGGTATCCCCTGCTTTCAGCCAAGATCCATCTCACATCAGCTACAATATCCCTAGTACCACGACCCCTTCTAAACCCAGCCTGGACTTCTGGTAGTTCTCTGTTGATGTGCTGTTCCAGTCATTTTTGGATAATGTTCAGTAAAATCTTGCTTGCATGTGAAATCAGTGAGATTGTTCTGTAGTTTCCACATTCTGTTGGGTCACCTTTCTTTGAGATAGGAACAAGTATTGATCGTTTCCAGTCAGTTGGCCAAGTGGTCGTTCTCCAAATTTCTTGGCACAACTTGGTGAGCACATCCAGACAGTATCTGTTAACTGAAATATGTCAATTGGTATACCATCTATTCCTGGAGCCTTATTTTTTGCCATGTCCTTCAAAGCAGCCTGAACTTCTTCTTTCATCACCATAGGCTCTTGCTCATATGTTGTTTCATCAAATTCTTCTGTGTCTTCCAATTCCTTTCGATACAGTGACTCAGTATATTCCTTCCATCTTCTTTTAATACTTCCTGGATCATTTAACATTCTGCCAAAAGCATCCTTGATTATAGCAACTCGATTGCCATGGGAAAGTCTGCTGTTAGCGACCTTTCCAAAGTACGGAAGAGCAATGGTGTCTCTCTGGAGACTAAGGTGTGTCTGATACAGGCCATGGTCTTCGCAATCACTTGTTATGCATCAGAGAGTTGGACAGTGACCAAGGAGGATAGAAGAATTGATGCCTTTGAGCTGTGTTGCTGGAGAAGAGTATTGAGAATACCATGGACTGCTAGGAAAACAGATTTGTCCTGGAAAGGGTTAAACCAGGTGGCTCCTTGGAGGCAAGGATTCTGAGGCTCGGTCTAACATACTTTGGACATGTGAGGAGAGACCGGTCCTTGGAGAAGGACATCATACTTGGTAGGGTGGAGGGACGGCTCAGGAGGGGAAGGCCCTCTATGAGGTGGATTGATTCAGTGACTAGGATAATTGGGATGGGGAGTGTCAGAGGCAGTGGGATTGGCACAGGACAGAGCAGAGTTTAGGGCTGTTGTACATAGGGTCGCTATGAGTCACAAGTGACTCGACGGCACATAACAACCACCACCACCAACCATATCAGCCTGTAGGAAATAAAACTAAAGGCATCGTATTTGCTTTTGCTTCCTAACAACTTCCCACAAACTGAGTGGCTTATTAGTCGTGAGCTGTGGTTGTCAGTGGTTGGGTGCGATGGTCTCATTCTGTGTCCTGAGCTCATGGAACAGTGGGGAAGCCCTGACTTTTCATTTTAATATGGGACGTCAGGTCTCTGCCGAGGGTCTCGCGCTCTGGAATCACTGTGTCTGCAGTTATGAGCACTCAGCTTCTGTGGGGACGCTGAGAGGAATGGACTCACCAGCTTCATTCACGTGGCAGGATGCCGTTCCTTGAACTTGTGGGACTGTTTCCATTTCTGTGCTGATTTG